AGGAAAGTCCCCTTCCGCATGCGAAAGTTTCGCAGCCACTGGGATTCATCCCAGACCTGAAGCACTATGCGGTCCCACCAGTCCGTGCTTGTTTCCCGGGCCCAGAATCGCCGTTCAACAAAATCCACATGCCCCATTGCCACCGTGATGTCCTGGGCGCTGGGGCTCGTGGTTTCTGACAGCTCTGTGCTACTCTCCGACTTCAGGCCCTCACGGCGGTGCCGTAGCCTCCTCGCCTGATTTCTCTGCATCTGCCTCTGGGAAAGGTGTATGATAAGGTGCGAGGCGTTGAGAACGGCCACAACTGCAGCGATGGTCGCAGCGGGATCCATGATCGCAGTGCTGTGGCGTCCGCGCTGTCACTGATCAAAAAGTGCGCGAACTGATTTCCCGCCGGCGCTTTCAGGGAGGGAGGGAGGGCGGTAGTGACTGACGGATGACGACAGTTACCCAAAAGCACCCTCGCCACATTTTTTTACCCAGAAGGCATTGGCGGATCGACCCAGAATTCCAATGGGCAGCGGGGACTGCGGGAACTGTGGGATAGCTGCCCACAGTGCACTGCTTCCAATGTCGACGCTTTCCCTGGTAGTGTGGACTGACAAAGTCGAATTACTGTCCTTAGTGTAGACACATACGTTCGACTTTCTAATATCGATTGCACATATTCGATTTAACTAAAATCGAACTACTCTCGTAGTGTAGACATACCCTTAGTTAAATTGCTTAAAGGGAACAGCTTCTCCCCATAATCTTCCTGTGAAATATTAAATGAATTGTTTTCCTTAGCTTGTAAATTATAATTGGATTTAATAAGTGTCATGCACTTTAACAAATTAGGTTATTTTTGTACACTGTAATGAATATAAATTGCTTGAATATCCTATTTCTAGATTTCCTTTTACTTTCTTTAGTTGAGTAGTACTTATTTGGACTATGCATTCTGGTTAGTTTTGTATGCTATGGTGAATAACATAACTCTTGGAATATGTTATGACATACTCATGTGAGTTAAACACCTGGAATATGTTATGATGTACTCAAATGCGTTAAGCAGCTGGGAATTCCTTACTGTGTCTTAGTTATATTAATTAGATGGGTTCAAAAGGAACAGTATGTCTTCTGCTGAATGGATATTCTTTCTTGTTTTGCAATCTCATTACAAATATTAAGGTCTTGTTTGGAGTGTAGGGGCCTACAAACTCCAATATAAAGGTGAAATATCAGTGATCAAAGTTAAGGATTTGGGGTGCTGAGATAATATTCCTCCATGAAATTCATCTATGCCCATAAGCACTTAAGCACATACTTAACTTCAAGCACGTCACTAGTGCCATTGAAATCAATGGAATGACTGATGTGCTTGAAGATAAGTACATGTTTAAGAGCTTTGCTGAGTCAGGATCTTAATCAATAGAAAACAAACTGTACTAAACCTAAGGAAAAGTAAGTAGATCAAGTTTGGTTTTCTTCCTTTAATTCTCACAGTTGTGATGTGACAATACATAAATTGTTTAAACTTGTAGTTATGGATATTGGATGTGAAATCCTGGCCCCACTGAAGTCAATGGTTTCAATACAGGCAGGATTTCACCTATAATGTCATACTGAAATTGTTTCTGTTTCATAATGATGAGGGATGCCCTGTGTTAGAAACTACATATTTTGTAGTACATTTGTATCCAATAATTCTGACTTGAATTTCTTTAAAAATATCTTGGCATTAGTCACAATGAATTTTGCGTACCCACTTGATAGCTCTGGCTGATTATTTTATGTATCTATTTAATATCGGACGCTTTGCTCATTGGTTTCTCTCTTTTTCTCACACACAAAACTTTTTTTGCTCATTCTGTACCAAGGAAATAGTGCTTTAACAACCTTTGTTGGATGGAGGATTTGTAACATTAATTTGAAATGGTAATCTTATTTATAAATGACTAATTATGAAAAATAGTCAGATAAATAGTATGGAGTACTTTCACATGGACAAAATAGATTACTGGATCCATTTAGATTGCTTTTGTGTGGTTGCATTAAGTTCATGGAGGATAGATCCATCAATGGCTATTTGCCTAGGGTGACCAGACGTCCCGATATTTCGCTCCGCCGGCAGCGCTGGGTTTTTTTTGTTTTTTTGTTTTGCTCCGCCGGCAGCACTTGGCTTTTTTTTCCCCCCTCCACCATCAGACCCCCCCCCCCCCCCCCCATGTGTCCTGATATTTTCTTCCTCTCATCTGGTCACCCTATATTTGCCAGTATGGTCAGGGATGCCAAACCATGCTCTGAAATGTCCCTAACCTCTGTTTGCCAGAAGCTAGGAATAGGCGACGGGGGATGAATCACTTGATGATTACCTGTTCTGTTCATTCCCTCTGAAATACCTGGCATTGGCCACTGTTGGAAGACAGGATACTAGGCTAGATGGACCATTGTTCTGACCCAGTATGGCCGTTCTTATGTTCTTATTGTGACAGCATTTGGCTCCATCATCAGTAATGCCCCGGACAGGAGTTTCAGGACTGACAAGAAAGTAACTGAAAGAAGAGTATATTAATTTTCAAGATTACATTTTTAAAATGTAATCCATTTTTATAATCACTTACTTAAAATTTGATTATATATGTTTCCTGTAAACAATTTCATAAACATCCCTTATCACAGGGCGAGCATTTTAAACACTATCTGTTTTCTGGATTCTTTCATAACAGATATTATTATTTCATATGAAACTGCTAAACAAAAAAGTCTAAGCAAATTTATATTAGAGAATTCCAAAAGCCATTGGTGATTATTGGAGAATTTACCAAAAAAGTATTTCAGTACAAAATATCTTAGAATTGAAAGCCAGAAATATAGCTTTGAGTAATTATATTGACTAAAATAATATGTCCAAATTATGGTTCAAAGTGAAGTTTTTCACATATGGAAGTAAATCCATTAGATTACTTTTATAGCCTGTCAATATTATGGGGGCTGCTAACATGATATCAGCTGTGAGGACTGAGAAGGGGCAGAATAATTTGTATTTGGGTTATCAAAATGGCATTAGAAAGGAGGAGTGTCTTGTAAGGCAAAAGACTGGCTTTCTAACTATAGTATTCTTTAAAGGTTTTAATCTTGCATTGTTGATATATATTAACAACTGTAACTCCAGCTTAATTTTTGTCTTGGAAGTTTTTTAACTGTATTGATGAGTAACTCTGTGACACTTTGATGTCCATTATTGTTTAAAAAATTGGACTGTATTTTTATCTATATTGATTCGATACAGGCATCACTTGCTTAAATTCTATGCCTTGTGTTCTGGAGGTCAGACTAAATCATAATGGGCCTTTCTACAGTAGTCCTGCCAGAAGTTCAAAGTTCTGCAAGAGCCCATGCAAATTTTATAATAATTATAATCTCAGCCAAACTCTATATAGGTTTTATGGGCATATTAAGAGGCACAACAGAGCTTGCAGTATTTGTAGGCTGTACCTGTAGGTATTGTAATGCCCATGCCAGCTCTTAGAAGTATTACATTATCAGTAGGCGGCTCTTGCCAGCACTGTAAGGTTCACATCAGATATCACAGATAATAAAGTGTACATCTGACCTCCATCTCTCAAAATTCTCTGCAAATGGACTGAATTCACGACTCAACTTTTCAGTATCAGTGAAGGCAGCAAAATAAACAGAAATTGGAGTTTATAGCCCAAGCTGTTTTTGCCACAATGTTCCCAAAAAACACCCCAGAAGTTTAGGAGACTTTTCAAAAGTGAAATACTCCTGACTTTTCACATTATCATGCTTAACATGCCTGGTCTCATAACTCCACCTCAAAAATACATTTCCTAAAAATTCTCCTCTGCCAGTGGAGCACACTTGATAAGTTTCAGACAGATTATTACTGTTTTGGTGAAGCTGGAGGGAGGTTGAAATCTAGTTTATAACAGAAAGCTAAACCAGCTGCTCTGGAGATATTACCTATCTACTGTCCAGAATATATAAAGATGGAGTTATGGTTTAGTACTTTTTGTATATGCTATAAATCCAATAGAACTTTGATGAGATGGATATTTTAACAGATGATGGAACCAAAGAGCTCTTTCCTGCCAGTATCTGGAATGAGTGTGAGGAAAAAAATCTATCCTTTGCATTTTCAACGTGATGTGATGAATTTGATCAGTAATTACTTCTTATATGCTACATTGTATATAATAATGTTAATACAGAGTTGCATGGCTGCTAAGTCTCTGTCATTTGCTTTGAATATTTTGACGTTTTTCTACATGTATTTTGACATTTCAGTTTTATTTGCAGCTGAAGCTTGTTTGCCCCATTAGGCTTTTTGTTTGTTTGTTTGTTTCCCAAAGTTTATTTTCAATATAACATTTCAGAAGTTCTAAAATTAGCAGGGTGTTGTTTTTTTCTTATGGAGGATTTATAATTACTGGCTACTGTTAGGGGGTTTTGCAAGATTGTGCCACATGTGAGCATTCAGAAAAATTCAGGAGCACCTTATTTTTAATAATGTCTATATCACGAGTTGTTATTGAAGTTGTAGAATTATGTCTATGTAGTTGCATAACATTTAAGTTGTTACATGTTGATGGATTTCCCTGTGAGTGTAATCTTACACTTCTAATAAATTCTGACCGTAACAAATACAGTAAATGAAAAGGCTAAATTATGACATTCCTATTATCAAATATAAACTTCTCTGTCGAGAGGAAATTAATATAATGCAAATATATTTCCATGGTTGAATCAGCAAAAGACTGCATAAGCATCTGCAGGAGCAGTTTTGTGGGTGGAAAGATTGAATAGCTGTCCATAGGTGCTGTTATAGCAGTGGAATCCCTTTGCTCAATATTCTCCTGTCCAATGAGGTGGAATGTTTCAAAGGCACATGGTTTATGCTGCTCAAAATAACTTGGGACCTGCAAACTGACAAATGCTATTGCTCCGGTGGTGACAGGTTATCCGGCTTCTTACAGCCATCCTCACTATAACTAAGGTTAACTCCTTTCACCTATGGACTCCTAGTTGTTTCTGTTCCTAAGGACCTGAAGAATTCCTGTGCTTCTATAACTTTAATTTAATACTTCTGGATAATTGCATCGCTGCTGAGTGCCAGAGTTGGACATCAACATCTGGAGGAATTGAAAAAGGTAATGTCTTTACTTTAGATCGTTACTGTGTTTTGATAACACTATACAGGTGCACAGAGGGTCAATGAAAATGTATACCTGAGTGCTACTTACTGCAGATCAGAAATATGCAGGGAGCAGATCACTTTTAAACTATCTGATTTAAATTACACTGAAGCATGTGAGTTAGAGTGAAAGAGAAACAATGTCCTGTAGGATCATAAAGAGCTTGAATAGGATTGGTGGGGTTCCTAAATTCCCTCAGCCTGTTTGTCTCCGATGGAAGAATAAACAGAAGGCAGCAATGACATGAAAATTGCTTTGCAGGAATTTTACTTTTGTTTTTCCCCATTTTACCATATAGTGAAATGATTACTTTATAATTGCTAGGATTACACCAATATACAGTAATTTGCATTTCCTTCTTAAAGAAAATCGGGCCTAATTTAATATGACTCCTTGGTTAAATACTTTCTTTTTTTTTTTTTCAAGTAAAATGACACTGCTGGCTATATTTAGTGTTGGGAGATCTGCTCTCTGGATTAATGTACACAACAGCTGCAGAAACACTCCAGATAGAAGGGCATTGCTCTCTCCCCCGCCCCACCTCACTCAGAAAGACATTTGACTGTCAGTGGCAAGTGTTTGGCCCAATATATTGCAACATTAAGCAGTAATCAGTAGTACATCTTGAATTATATTAAATGCATAATTTAAAAGAGAATAGAGTAGCTCTTGAGCTCATCTGCTTAGTCAGGATAGTATTATGCAGATCATGTTAAGGGAATTGATCATTTTATCAGCAGATTTTTGTTCACGTCATTAGGTTTAAATTTACTTAGAAGCTCTTAGGTTTGTAAACTAAATAAAAAATCAGCAAATGTTAAAGGATCCAATTTCATAAACTTCAACTCTACTCTTTCCCCTGGCCTTCCTAAAGGTTCATGAGTACAGGATATATTTTCTTTCCTCTTTTTTCCTCAGAGAGTGCTATCAAAATTAAATAAAATTAAATGTATTTATACTGATAACCAAAAGTAATTACTTATTTAAGCTATTAAAAACTCCTTCTACAATAAGTTCAGGAGCAAGCTTTTATAGACAATAGTCTATCATAGTTAAAGACCATGACACAACATAGTTCAGACTTTTTAGGTACTATTCCTGTACATTCTTTTAAAATTTTACAACAGTTTTGTTATGGGACCAAAGGAATTATACAGACCTTCAATGTTTCCTGCCAACAGCTAGCATTAGCAGGGTAAGTACATTTTTATAAGTAATGCTATAGTAAGATTTTGGGATTTAAAAATTACATAGAACAATAAAGAACAATTGTGTAATGCAGTCAAAGATCACAAACCATTGTCTGAATCAGTAAATCAGTACAAATCAGGCCATTATACTAATTAATATTTTACTTGTTTTAATAAGCAATGTACTGCAGGGATGGGCAAACTCATTTGCTTAATTTCAAACCCACTCAAATCTTGTAGTTTGAAAGTCTGACAACTTCAATGTTAATTGATTTCACATTTTGCTTAGGAAAAAAAAAAAAAAAAAAAAAAAAGGAAGAAAAATTTAGTGAAAAAATTGTGGTGAAAATGGAGCATACAACAGGCAGAGAGAAAAACAAACATAGCAGGACTGTGGGGAAAAAGAATGAAGAAAAGTAGTCAGAAAAAAAATCTAATGAGGAAAAATACAGGTTATTTATTGCAAATAAGGCATCCACCTGTGACAGACCGGGCAGGAGGAAAGGCTTCCTTTTCACTAGAAAATGTTTTTATTTAAACTGGTTTCAGAGTAGCAGCCGTGTTAGTCTGTATCCGCAAAAAGAACAGGAGTACTTGTGGCACCTTAGAGACTAACAAATTTATTTGAGCATAAGCTTTCGTGGGCTACAGCCCACTTCTTCGGATGCATAGAATGGAACTTATATTGAGGAGATATGTATACACATACAGAGAGCATGAAAAGGTGGGAGTTGTCTTACCAACTCTGAGAGGCCAATTAAGTAAGAGAAAAAACTTTTGAAGTGATAATCAAGATAGCCCAGTACAGACAGTTTGATAAGTGTGAGAATACTTACATGGGGAGATAGATTCAATGTTTGTAATGGCTCAGCCATTCCCAGTCTCTATTCAAGCCTAAGTTGATTGTATCTAGTTTGCATATCAATTCAAGTTCAGCAGTTTCTCGTTGGAGTCTGTTTTTGAAGCTTTTCTGTTGCAAAATTGCCACCCTCAGGTCTGTTATTGAGTGACCAGACAGGTTAAAGTGTTCTCCTACTGGTTTTTGAATGTTATGATTCTTGATGTCAGATTTGTGTCCATTTATTCTTTTGCATAGAGACTGTCCGGTTTGGCCAATGTACATGGCAGAGGGGCATTGCTGGCACATGGATCAAATACATTTGTTAGTCTCTAAGGTGCCACAAGTACTCCTGTTCTTTTATTTAAACTGAATCTCGCTTAAGAAATCAGAGGTTTAAATTACAAGAGGAAAAGGTTTGTGATCTCAAGCAAGTTTGCACACCCAAAAAACAGGACAACCGACTTTAAAAATCTCAAACTCCACTGAGTTTGTCCATCCCTATCATACAGACTGTGAGCCAAATTCTGCCTCCAGGTATACCAGTACAACCCCATTGAATAATGCCCTCATGTGTGCATGGTATAACACAGCAGAACATGGCTCATTGTTTAAATAATGTAAAATACCACACAGTACCTTGTTGGGTATCTTAATGTGTCAGCCTAACAATGAACACATGAAATATATTAAAATTATATCTGAGCACTAACATTTAAGTTTTGGCTTCAGACATGAACTAAGGTTGTATTCAGGCTGTCCTCAGTCCTATGCATAGTGCTCCCATTCATTGATCAGTCCTAATACTAGCAAGAATAATATAGAGAATTGAGGTGGATAAGACTGAGGCTAAATCAGGCTACATATTCAATAAAACATTTGGGCCACAATCTCTGATCTTTAACTTCTGCCTGGAATGCTTATCTATAGTTCTGGGCATAGAGGACCCACCAAATCAAGTCTCCTTATGTTTGGAAGGGAGCCAGAATAGGAGCACAAAGTTTTGTCACTCTTACTTTGCTTTATAGTTGTGGCTGTTTTGTATCTATACATAACATCCTCTTCTCCCTTGGGATTTACCAAAGCAGTGCTGTGCAAACCTTTGGGACAAATATTTTATTAGCCAAAAAGTGCATTTTTGCGTTGAGCAAAAATACTCAAAAATTTGTGTTGAATTCAGTGAATAGTTTCATCTGAAAAAAACTGGTTTTAATGTAGAAGAATTCAAACCATTTTTATACAAGTTTCTAAACAAAACATTTTGTTTGTTTTTTTACATTTTAAATATTTTTTTAACATTTTGATATTTGTTTTGAAACTTGTTTAAACTAATTTTAAAGGGTTAAAAAATCCCAAAATGAAACTAAATGTTTTGTTTCAGGTTGAACAAAATGTTTCAATCAACCCAAAATTAATTTTTGTTTGTTTTTCATTTCACTGAGAAAACTGATTTTTTTGTTTGTTTGTTTTAGAGAGACCCAAAATGAATGTTCTTTATGGTATTTTGGGTTGGGCAGCAAACAGAAAAATCAATTGTTCACACAGCTCTAGAGTGCTAAATCTCGAAGTCTATAAACTATGGGTCCAGAATCAGAGGCGATGCGTGTGGGAGGGGGGCACGTAGGCGTCATGTGCCCTCCCGCCCGATTTCTCGGGATGCCTCTCACCAGGACGCCCAGTAGCAAGAAGGAAGTGGGTCCCCCTAGCGGCAGCACTCTCCGTGTGTCCGTGCAGCAAGGGGAGAGAGGAAGCAGCAGGGAGGCTGGCTGAGCTCCCCCTATCCGCTACAGGGGCAGCTTCTCCTCCCTGCTGCTGGAGTCTCAGCACTTCCCGCTGCCTGCTTTGCAGACCGCCCACTGATGTGAGTCGGGGATGGAGGCAGAGGCAACACATGGGGTGGTCACATACCGCCCCCCCGAATGTTTTAATTGTGCTCCTCCCCCCACTATCCACAGTTATGCGTCATCTCTGGGCCCAGTTATACAAGCTCTTTCTTATGAGGGTAATCTTTGATGTAAATGGGACTGTCCAGGTGATTAAGGACTACTTGAGTCAAAAAAGGCTTACAGTATTAGGGCGTACAATACTATATTTAAGGCCCATTGACATTGGTTCCGGCCTCACATCCCAGTAGGAGAGAAAGACATCTGGCTGTGGAAAAACAACTACACCAGCCCTCAAAGACTGCAGCACTAATGCTGACTTCTGATAAGTAATAGCTAATTTAGAAAACATGTTCATCTTTAACAGTTTTACATTTTAAAATTAATCCTGAATTTATTTAAATTTCAATCTGACTTCAGCTAGTATTGCTCAAAAATATTGTTTGCTTTGCAGTCCAGAGAGGTGCTGAGAAGGCAAAAACAACTCAAAATCAGGGTAAGAGAGGGTCTTAAATATTCTCATTTTATTACAGCACTACACATCTAAACTTTGAACCAGGGATAATATCTGTTGTGCACGATAATCACGAAAGTGGTTTATTGTGACCATACTCCAATACCATGAATATTGTTCCTAATATATGGCAAGATGAAAGAAGCTTTAAAAAAGAACAAAATAAAGGAAAGGGGAAATTTTGTATGTGTTTTTTTAATTTCATGAAGGTTTGAAAGTTCTACATTGCTTCTTTCTTAGACATCCCATTGATGTAACAGTGAGATTGAGGGTCAGGTGAATAAATATTCAAGGGTAGGGCTTAAAATATATATTCATAAGAATGGTCTCTGAAGAAATGTGTCAGCACTCACTAATAAAAATGTAATTGTCCTCCACAGTTCAGCAATAACACTCTGACCTTTTTTTATTAGATTTTGTTCACACAAAAGACCTGATTCTGATCCAATCTAAGTCAATGACAAAATTCCCATTGACTTCAGTAGAAGCAGTAGCGGCCCAAAGGGAGTCAGTGTTTTCTCCATAGATCC